ACCATTCTATGATTCTATGATTCTATAATACGTGTGGTTAAAAATACAGATATTTTGATTTAGAAATGTGAGCAGTGAAAGTACTGTTAGTTGTTTTCTAATTTTGATACTCAGTGCTATGCAACTCATTGAATTATGTGTGAGTTCCCTTCCATTGCATCTGCAGGATAGATAGGGCACAGACATAGTTAATAGGGTACCTAACCAAATATGCAATGAGAAGTGCTGCTTGTGTGACTCAGCATAAATTAGGCAGAGCAAAACAGGGTATTTGAAAGCCTGGGTAAGGGGAGAAATCTGGAGATCTTCCTTCCAACGGCAGTTGTGCAGCATCGTAGTCTGTCTTGCCAGTCGGTGGGCAATAGCTCAGCAGAGCTTGAGTGTCAGGACAGATGGCTGATTTTAAATGCCATAAACACGTGGCAATAAAGGAGTATAATTATTCCACTTGCGAACCTATGGATCTCCATATGTGATTAAAGAATGACTAACTAAAAGACTTAAGCCAGGATGAGAACTTGCATTTTGATCAGTCAGAGCAGATCAGCTGGCCAAGGCATTGAATAGCTAACACGAGGCTGCCTCTCCCCCTGCCTGCCAGCTATCTGCTCTCGGATGTGCCTTTTGCGAAATGGGCCACACTTCTGTCTGTAACATCTGCTGTCTGCTGTTCCAGTGTGTTACCTGTCCTTGATTGGTGCCTTGTTCGCAGAGGGTAATAATCTTGTGTTGCTGCCAGGAAGTGTAGTTTGAGCTGAATAAGGAAGATTTATACGGAAGCAATGAAAATCTGGAGTGAAAACATTGTTCATGATGCAAATTGGAATGAATTGCTGTCGCTAAGAGAAATTCGTCGTTTTAAATTCACTTTTTTTCCCTTAAGGAAATAAAAGAGCTTTATAAAAACAAAGTTACTTAGACTGCAGTCTGAAGAACCCCAGAATTACAGCGTGCAGGTTAAGTATATCTATGCCTCAGCTGGTACCTTTGCATGTATTTTGATATCCTTGAGAAGGTGATCACTCACCATTTCCCTGCTGTGCTCAGGGAATGAGGCCCTTACGCAGTATATTCTTCACCTATGAGTAGCCCACATACTACTTTACAGGACATTGTCTGAGAAAATGAATGTGCTGTATGTTACTTTTTTAAAAGAACATCGTAGAGCTTTCCTCAAATGTGGCAATCTCCTATTTTAATAGGTCTGTAAGTCATGTTTAATGACGCCGACTTGGAAAAAACCCACTGAAATAAATGCTATTTTTTTGAAGAAAAGCTGCATGCATTTTTACAGAATGTTTTAGAAAGCTCTACATTTTGAGGAAATGTCATAAATTTGAATCATCGTAGGGAAGAAAACAGAGTAATGTGGTCAGTGACACAACACAGAATATTATTTATAGCGTGTATGTTGCTGTAGGCTGTGGGTAGCCAGCTGTTTTTAAAGCAGACCTAAACGCATCTTGCAAACTACTTATTCTGATATATCTCCTTGCAGATAATCATTCAAAGCCAATGGAAATTGACGGGGATGTTGAAATTCCTCCTAACAAAGCAACAGTCCTTCGGGGCCATGAATCAGAAGTGTTCATCTGTGCCTGGAACCCTGTCAGTGACCTGCTAGCATCTGGGTAAGACCATGACTAAAACCAGCTGCTACAATTAGGGTATATTTAGAGATGCAAGAACTTGCGAGTGTATACTAGAGATGAATGAGTATTCACTGTTTTTTCAGCCTGCAACTGTTTTTTTCAGCAGTACTGTACCTATGTAGGAGTTAAGTAATTATAAGGTGATGCAGAATATGAAGCATGTGCACTCTGTGGCCCTGAATACACATACATTTTTTAAAAAGGTTTTTAAAATAACTATGGATAATTCTCAGAGTATTTGAAGTTCATGTAACCTACTCCTACTGTTCTTAGTTAATGATTCATGTTGAGGTCTCAGAAAGTCTGTGGCATCCCAGTTTTGTTTTTGAGTATGGAGACTCTAAAACAGAGCACGTTCTGGCTATGTCTGCCCTGGCATGGTGCAGCACAAACAGGAGTAGATCTGTAAAGCACAGAACTATTGTGTGAGGACTTTGTGTCACCACAGTTTGTATTGGAGGGAGTGCTTCAGACTGGATCTAGCTCTGTTCAATAAGCTGATGATCATTGAGGGCATGTTTTGGTTTATCGTCAATGAGAAGGAATCTGGTTTGTGTTCTCCAGGACTGCTCAGCAATGATAACCAAAGCGTGGTAAGTGGGACAATCACAAGATTGACTTACATAAAAAAAGCACTTTTGATCCAAACAAAAATGCTAACATTAAACATACCCCAAGAACTATATATACAAACATTGTATTCTGTGTTAAAATTTAAATTAAGGCTAAATTTAAGAAGTGTAGCTGGTAATGTGGAGGAGTGCTGATATAAGTTAGAGGAGATAAAAGAGTCGTCATCATTTAAAGTTGCTTAGTAGTATCACAACACATTTTTTACAAGGAAGAGGAGACTCATTTTATTTCCAACTTTTTGCAAGATCATCAGAATAATCTTATCTTGGTTGATAAATTGTAAATTTCATGTTAATACATGAAAACGAGGAATTAGAGTGCAAATGGGAAAGAATACATAAGAAAAACAAATACGAAGTTGTATAGCTCTCTAAGAGAGTAAAGACAAAAGTTTCCCAAGAATAATTTCAGACAAT